GGCCCGCACCCATCTTATCGCTGACAAGCCCGCAAGGGAAAGGGAAGGCCAAAATGAAGGATGGAGTCGTCTCGAGACGATATGAGGCGGGAGAGAGTTCCAAAAAGAGGAAGAGGGTAGAAAAAACAAAGGTCAAAGGATTGGCGATAGGGAAGAGGAAGAAATGGTTATTCATGGTTATTCATGCTCAGGAGAGCCAGACGGAGAGTTCGCATTAGACGAGGTGATGAGTCAGCACCTTTCTCGGACCAACATCAGAAGAAAAAGAGGATCCTACCAAGACCAAAATCCCGAAGGAAAAGGAAAGTCAAGAAGCATCTTCTTAGCGCTGGAACTAATAACAAACTGAAACATAAGACAATTAAACGCCGACGTGGCCGACCTTTACGGGCAATCACCCTGAAACTCGTCCGCTTCATTTGACGCAAGTGGATAGGGCTCGACGGGGGCGTCAAGAAGTGGTCCGGGCTAACTGTCAGGCGACCACGAGCAATGCGCCGCCTAAAATCTGCGATTTCGGGACTTAGGCTCGGGGACAAGTCCGTGTTTTGACGGTACTCTGGTATGACCAGGCAGCAAAAATTAGGGGAACTCAGGGCACCCCTGATTTTGGGCGAACTGAGCCTTTCGAGTAAACCCCAAAGATGGCGAAGTGGGTAGCCGCTCCCGGCACATCTATGAACCGTCATTCCCACACGTCCCGAGGCTAGACCTGGGATGGCCGGCTGTGGGGAGGCATAGCGCGTGTTGACCCCGCGGCAACGTTTTTGCAGCATATGATCGGGCTGGAGTAGCGCCTCAAATTTTATCAATTTTTGGTACCTAATTTAAATATGGGAGAAAAGATTGGGAACAGAAGGAGGGAAGAGAAAAACGTAATATTCCTTGATTCCCCTATTCTTTCGCAGCATATAAATTTTCGGGAAATACCTCGTTATTTTACGTTTCCGGCAATGGAATATAACAACCAGAGAAAAGGATTAAGAATGGTAAAGGAGAGAAGAAAAGAGGGAATTTCAACCATTTGATTAAACTCCCTCAGAATGCATTTTTGGAGAACCTACGGCTAATTCACTATTTCAGACAATAGAGTTAAGGAAAAGGGAGAACGATTAAAAAAGGGTGGAACTAACAGGAGCTAATGATTATTCGATGCCTGGCCCGGTTTTTGCTTGGGATACCCGCCGTCGGCTCAGAACCCCGATTTGATCAAATTCCCTGAGCTCAAACTTTTTTTACTATCCCCCATTGATCGAAACTCTCTATGATGTGTCCGTTATTTACCTGATTTGCTAGCCTTACTGAACCCGGCGGAACGGACGATGCCCGCATGGATATGGACAGCGTGGGGTCGTGTTACATTGGGCCGACGGCATAATGACAGGTTCGGTACCGGACATGTTTGAGGATCGGCTTGAGCCGGAATCGGCGTACTTCAGGTTCGGGCACCAGGGTGATTTATTTCCAGGATCGACATCATCACAGCTATTTATTTCAGGTTCAGCATCATCATGACTATTTGTKACAGGATCGGAACCGTCACGGAGGCTTACCTTCAGGTCTGGAGCCACTATGACGATGTATTTCAGGTTCGGGATCCTAGTGGTAATTTATTTTCAGGCTCGGCGATGATTTTTTTCCAGCTCCGGCACTGCTGCGGCAGACTATTATCCGGATTCGGCACCCTCGCGGTGGCATGTGTCAGGTTCGGTGCCATTAAGACAATTTATTGGGGACACTGTGGCAACTTATTTCAGGTACGCCGCCGCCACAGCGGCTTATTTCAGGTTCTGCGGCTTCGGGACGATTTATTTTCAAGTCTGGAGACTGCCGCGGTGGTCTGTCTCAGGCCCGGAACTTGGACGGCAGGTTATTCCAGGTCCGGTGCTATCACAGGTAATTAACTCAGGTTCGGCACCATCACTGCGGTCATCTATACCCGGTTTGGTACCACTATGGCGCGTTACAGCGGACAATCTGTGAAGAATTCCGGAACGACAGGCTGCCTGAACCGGAACGGGATAACTGAGGACCGACCCGGAGGCGGCACGCGTGGGCCTTAAGGGCCTTGGTACCACGACGCCCAGTTGTTGACCCGAGGACGATGCTCACGTACCACCCGTAATGAGCTTGTGTTGGGCCTGGTACCGACGGTCTCGGCAGTACAAGCAAATGTGGAATGAATATAGGGGGGAAAAGAGGAGAGATCGGGGACAGCATGCAAGGTGTACCTGGCCCACAACATAGTGGGATCCAGGCAGGTCAACGCGTTGGGAGCAGCATGCAAGGCGTTCCCCGCCCACGTAGCAGGCGACCAGGGGGAACTGGACATTTGGACAGCGGGGTGACCAGGGCGAAGGGGGGGGCGCACTAGAGCGGGCGACCAGTGTGACCAGGATGCGCTGCAACGGGGTGCACCAGGGGAAGCGACGGCAGGAAACGCAGCGAACGTACCTGTTCGTGGAGCGCAATGGTTCCAAGCTGCTCATGGTCAACGGAAGCTATGGCAGCAGTGTCTGTGTGTATGGGAGAGAGAGAGAGAGAGAGAGACTAAGTAGTGAGAGAGTGAGACACTGCGCAGTGTGTGAGCATGAGAGAGAGACTATGCAGTGTGAGAGAGAGGGACTGAGCAGCGCGAGAGAGAGGGACTGTGCAGCGTGAGAGAGAGGGACTGTGCAGTGTGAGAGATGAAGAGGGAGTGAGAGAATAAGGGATATTGAGAGAGAGTGCAGAGGGTGATATGTGTGGGAAAGGAGAAAACGGTGAGTGTTCATTATTATTATTATTATTATTATCATTTATTTTCACTATTGTGATTATCTTTTATATCTATCTTTCCACATGGCCAGAAACATCTCACCCGCTGATGGTGAAAATCTGCTTGTTGGGCGCACGGAAAATGGATGCTAGATGGAGAGGGAGAGTGTGCAGAGAGAGAGAGAGAGAGAGAGTGTGCAGTGAGAGAGAGAGTGTGTGCAGTGAGAGAGAGTGTGTGCACTGGGAGAGAGAGTGAGCAGTGAGTGAGAGAGAGAGAGTGTGCAGTAAGAGAGAGAGAGAGAGTGTGTCGTGAGAGAGAGTGCGTGAGAGAGAGAGAAAGAGCAACAGGCAACAC